TACAGCACTATACTTTCTCTAAACTGACAGATAAATAGGTCTTTTTTAAATATGCAACAATTTATTTTTTATTGTTTTTGATAATTCTTCAAAATATGCCAATAATATTATTACTGGTATCCAGCCGTCTGCCAATATATTCATTATAATTATTGTTTATATCACAAGAGGCATAACGTTAAATATATAAGCCAGGTTATCGAAACTAAATGAAGGTGGTATTTGTGGCCTAAAGCGTTACGCGTTGTCCTACTAATCTGAAGGTTCGGGGTTCGATCCCTGTTGAGGTATGGTTTTTTTTCAATTAATATAATATTTCGAATGTAATTTTCTATCGTCCACATTTCAAGACAAATATTTCTGCACCAGTTGCTGGTCACGAAGTGAATAATTTCTCACAGTGTTGCCAAATATCTGCTGATTCGAGGCGCGCTAGATTGCTTGTTAAATTCTGCCAGAAAATCGTGAAATATAAAATACAGATAAGTAGGTATAGACCAAGCAAATTAAATTTTTACTCGAAAAAAGTCCTATCCGCGAGATTATTGTAAAATTGTCTAAAGGAACATAATACAAGACATCTCTCATCTCGTGAGTCAAAAACTTTTATTAGCTAACTTTTCTATTTAAACAAATAAGTGAGGAAAACAGTTTTTTCACGAATGTATAAATCATTACCATGGAAAATACTTTACAGCACTATACTTTCTCTAAACTGACAGATAAATAGGTCTTTTTTAAATATGCAACAATTTATTTTTTATTGTTTTTGATAATTCTTCAAAATATGCCAATAATATTATTACTGGTATCCAGCCGTCTGCCAATATATTCATTATAATTATTGTTTATATCACAAGAGGCATAACGTTAAGTATATAAGCCAGGTTATCGAAACTAAATAAGCGTGGTCTTGTGGCCTAAAGCGTTACGCGTTGTCCTACTAATCTAAAGGTTCGGGGTTCGATCCCTGATGAGGTATGGTTTTTTTTCAATTAATATAATATTTCGAATGTAATTTTCTATCGTCCACATTTCAAGACAAATATTTTTGCACCAGTTGCTGGTCGCGAAGTGAATAATTTCTCACAGTGTTGCCAAATATCTGCTGATTCGAGGCGCGCTACATTGCCTGTTAAATTCTGCCAGAAAATCGTGAAATATAAAATACAGCTAAGTAGGTACAGACCAAGCAAATTAAATGTTTACGCAAAAAAAGTCCTATCCGCGAGATTATTGTAAAATTATTGTAAAACAAAAACTTTTATTAGCTAACTTTTCTATTTATCCAAATAAGTGAGGAAAACAGCTTTTTCACTTTGCAGGGAAAACCATCAATTTTAGCGAAAAATTAAATAATTTTTAACGTGGCATAT